ACGATTGTTAACGACAGCAAGGAAATTACAGAAACTAAAGTTATGCATTGGCCTTTTCCATCGTCCACGGTACCCTTAAGCATTGTCAAAAAAGAGCATATTATTTATAATGCAGTAGAAATGGTCTTTCAAGTTGGTGCATTTTCTGATGCTGCCGTCTTCGGAATAGCATGTCCAATTTTAATCAGATTCGACTTTACGTGGGTGATTTTCTCCCCTCGTGACGACTATCACACTGGGTTCTATTCACACTGGACATTAACCTTATTCGAGTTGTTGCCAGGCAACCACCTTTGAATTCCCGACTCAACTGAAAAAGGAAGACGCAGGTGTTGTGGATTCGAATTCTCGAGGGAAGCGCTCAACGCTCGGCTGCATAACAGGCCTATCAAAGCCTTGAGTGCTTTTTTACAAAATCTGAGTAGCATTGTCTTTTTTGATGATGCTAGTAGCTATACTCCGCTGTCAGACCCAAACAACAGCAAAAGTGAGCTTTTTGTTTTGATTTCAACGGATTACAGAGAAAAATGTACAGTTTACATGTCAGTCAAATACACATATAGTTCCAAAGTTAAGGCAAAATCGACTTAAGCATTTGTTTCTTCAAAGAAACAGAATTATGTCCGAAAGAAAGGATATTATCAACAAATGTTTGTCAGGAATGATATGTCCTCTCAGCAATATATTAACACAATGAATCAAATACAACTTTTAGTCTAATTATATCACGAAATTGAAAATAAAAGTTTGTTTTAAACATAGTTGCACGATTTTTTTACACGAACGGCTCTTCCTTTTTTACGCAGTACGGACCAATACAGTCATATAAATGGGTGAAGCCGGCTACCCCATCCCGTGTTTTGAAAGATTTCACTTTTGCATGTTTTTGCGGAACGATCGTGAAATCATGTAGAAGGAATACCTTGACCAGAGCAGCGACCATTTGGGAGGATTTGGGGCTAAACAAGGTGAAATTTCGCCGACCCCCCTCTTTGAATGTTACTTCATTGAAGTAATCCCCCCTAACAACTTTTGATGACTTTTGCGATCCCCACCACTCCATGTCTTCATTTTCCAAACAAATTTTAGTGGCCCCCCCTCTGAATCCTTAAAAAAATTTTCAGCGATCCGCCCTTTTGGGTTCTTAGTTACGACTGATCCCCCCTTTTGTTCTCCCAAAAATCAAGTGATTCCGCCCAAAATCCTCCGCCCCCCCCCCCCCTCCCCACCGGGCGATAAATAATGACCTGTCCCTTAACAACAACAACAACAACAGCAATATCAGACACTACTGCAGTACGTGATATGCTCTTGAAAATGATGTTAAAATTGCAGAGTGCTTGCTCAATGTCCAATAAGAATAAAGGTAATCTGGCTAAAGCGACTTTTTGGCAACCTCGTCCCCAGGGCTTTTCCCTCAAAACCCATTTTTGGAGGGAAAAGCACTGGGGACGAGGTTGACTTTTTGGGGTTCTTAAAATTTCATATTTACCCGGCCAATTCGCATGATTTATGACCCACGATTTTTAGTAAGTGTATTGTGTGAAAAAAAAAAAGAGAGGGAGGGAGAGAGAGAGAGAGAGAGAGAGAGAAGGCGATAATAACTTTACAAGTCTACATTCGCATGGCGTTGTAAATTTCTAAGCCTGTAGATGACTCTCTTTAACTTTTGTGATGGGCCAACTGATATTTGTCTGTTTCATTTCTCTTCATTTGCAAGAAAGTACTTCTGACTGATAAAGGAATGTGAGCAAGAGACTTGAGCCAAATGACACGCTCAAATTAAAAAAGCAAAAGGCGAATGAACACGTCAAGCGACTGAAAAGGTGAAAGTCGATTTATAAATATTTTTGGATCACCGGGTATACACGTATATTTTCTTTTTCATATTATTCTCTCCAATCATGCTAGGACAAGTATTTTGAAGTGGCCGGCGGACTTAACCATAGTAAGAAGAGGAGACTGGCTGTGAATGGAGGCAAACATCAAAGATAAAAACAACGGTTTTGCAGTTTGTGTTGAAAACTCTTGTGACGTTCAATTTTATTGGTCAATAAGATCAAGATAATAGGAATGCTATTTAAATGTGCGACGTCTGGAACATAAAACAAAGGAGTTTGACAGGCTACATAATCATTCCATACATAACTTATCAAAAGTATGCTTGGGAGGGTTTCATGATTATCATAGATCATCGTCATCTCATTATCGTGTTTAAGTTGTTTTTCACCATTTAAATAATACTAGGGAGGAACCACTTAAGAAGATACAATTTTTCCACCATCACTCAGTGACAAAGAAAATTTGAATTGCGTGTATAAATCTATCCTCCTCGTGAAGACTAGAACTGATCTACCCTTATCGTGAGGAAATAGACCCTACAAATGAAGGTTCCAGACAGGCTTTATTGGAAAAAACCTTTTGCATTTTTTTTTCATAGTTTCATTTAAATTGTTCTTGATCACACGTACTGTAGAACGTTTTCCACGTGATATAGAGCTATGAAGTTCCAAAATTGCGGGGGTATGCGGTGATGTGAAGTAATTTTTGTCAAACGATGCCATCGTGTACCTTAAACCGCCTTTAATACTTAGATACAAACGTTAATTTTTTTCTCCCTCTCCTGATTATTATTATTTTAATGTCCTGTAGTCAACTTTATTTCTGAAAATATTGCGGAACGACGAGGACAGCCCAATTCGAATTGCCTAGCCCCCATTTCATGGAAAAAAAATTTGCCGGAGTTATTGGAGTAACCTTTCAATTGCGTTTTTCTTCGTCTCCTCCTAGTCTATAAGAAGAGCAGGACGCTCAGGGTACATTTGCATCCAAACTTAATCCTTTTGTTTGTCCTTGCTTTATCGATCCTCCAGTCTCTTATCCCTATTCTCTTCTAATAAGCAATTAATTAGTCTGAGGCGCCAAAAAATAAACCCATTGAGCATACATCAAGGTTATTCCTTCAGTATCGTATTGCGCATCCTAATTGCGCTTTTCGCGCTTGGTTAGCACGCATAAAAAAATATGGCAGCTTTTGCTTTATTGTCGGAGCTCGTCAGAAACGTATTCAAAAACACGCACGGGTAAATATAATCATATTAATATTGTAAGGAATTATTACAAGTGCTGCTGGTCCTAAAAAAGTATGAAGACCCCCCGTATTTATTTCAAACTTTAAGTTACTAAAAGTTAAACAACTGGTACGCATCGTTTGACAAAAATGTCACTGCGTGTTCTATTTCAGAGGGCTAGGATGAAGAGAGATGGAAGTAGATGCCCTGAAAAAGGAAACATTGCTTTAAAAAGAATTTCATTCCCCTCATTTACAGTGTTAACATAATGACAATATTTTTTATCTTGCTGAAATATGTGAAAAGGAATCAGATCGGTATGTGGCATCGAACGTCTAAAAGAGATGAAAATTGATTAACCCCAAGCCTTTAATGAGCTTGTAATAAAGAATGGGAAATAAACCGAAAAACTAGAAAAAAAAAATACCAAAACCAAAGCTGAGTTCGCTTCAAAAACGCAAGCTTGGTTTCACAAAGCTAAGGATGAGATGAATCTCTTCGGGAGCTACTGAAAGCAAAACTTCATCGTTTGTTTTGAACATCTAGAGGGCTGAAATCCAGCTTTCCAGTGATTCTTTGTGAGTTTCAAAATAATTTTACAATGTTTGGACTCCCGAGTTTGCTTACCACACAATCCACTTGTTGAGGAAGTAATTTAAAAAAATCGTGCTTGGGTTCACTGGATTCCACAAGAAAAGCTGAACAAAAATTGAAATGGACACCCAATGAAACACTTTTAATGGTTTTTGAAATCAAATTTGCTTCAGTATCACATTAGAATGATTTTCAAAGATGAGGGAACTATTATATTATTATTCATTTATTTTTTTCATTTAGAGAACATTATACCAAAGATCTCTTTAGTTAATGAGCCACCTTATAAAATGGCAAAACCAGCTTTACTGTGCCCTGGGTACCAGAGGGTTTTTTTCCTCGCGTGCAGTTGGATGCTTCGGTGTCGGCCAGAGGCCGAAGATCTTCGGTCGAAGGCCGGTCGATCTTCAGTCACGCGGGTCACAATTTAAAGAGTTGTCTGAAACCGAAAACCGCGCATGAAAAGTCTCTGGCACCCACGGTAGAAACGCTATAAAGATGTAAAAAAAATAACTACCTGAATACGAGAATTCAAAGGTGCGTTTGATTGACCGTACTCCAGACAAGAGCATGAGAGACTGCTTCAGTTTCCTGAATACGTATGTTTTCTACAACAAAAGATTTTACAAAGGTTAATCTACCCTATGCAGGGTAGATATTATAGGTTTTGTCACGCCCCAGAGTAATCCTTGTTTACTTTTTTCTTCTTTCAGATAATTCACAATTCGGATCGCGCACGGAAGATCAAATAAGGTTCTTGAACGAGCTTGGAATTTGTATACAGTTGCAGGAGCCTATCAATTTGATGGGTTCCTGACAGTTGTCAACTTTAGCGAATGTTCATGTGAGAAAAAAGCTGACCCCTTTGCTCGAGCCATAAGCGCCCGCGCATGCACTAATTGTATTGCCTTGACCGAGTTGACCCAAGTGGGCAAGCCAAAGGGTTAAGTAAACATAAATATGGAGAAAAGTTGGCCGGTTAGGAGATGACCCGCCTAGGTGGGGGGTTGGGGGGGGATCAACCTTTTAGCCGTCGAGCCAAATTTTTGTTTTTTCACGAAAAGCGGTTCGTCAAGTTTTGTAAGGAAATGTAGGAAAAGTTGGCTCGCCCGCGCACCGGGTAGGTGAGTTAATCTTCGACCACGGACAAGTATTCACCTGATATTTTGCAGAATCCGGGACGGTTAATCAAACGCACAACCACTACCGTAGAAAAAAGTTTTAAACAAGTAAAAACGACTTAATTTAAAGATGGCCAGTTAAGCCAAGAATAACTGTTTACCAAGTACATAAAAAAGAGTGATTTTTTTGTTTTGTTTTCCGAGGTAATCGAACTTAAACAAGAATTTCATAGTAAACTTCCACCTCCTCTGGGCTGAAGTTCTGATTTCCGGTCCAGATATTGTTATCACAATAGGGACTAGTATACGAATAGCAATAACAGTAAGAGTTATGATTGTATCTTGCATTATCTGCAATGTACAAATCATGACCCCCTCCAAAGGTTGGACCATAGCCATAGCTGCTGTATGTGGCATAATAATAGTGGACGTTGACGTCCTTTTTAAAGTAACCATATCCGTAATAGTTTTTCAGCGAGTATATGAAGGTGTTGGACGAGTATTGGTATGACTCTGAAGACCCTGAAGAGAGACATACATTATTGTTAAAAATGCAGAACAGGTCCTTGCTTGAGTCTTAACTATCACAACAACGTTACACAAGCACGGTCAACACTGTCAGCAACAATAAAGTCCTATGTATACATCTTCAACTCCGACACTCAAGCTCCAATTTGATGACCACGAGGTCAGTGAAACTACTCTCGTACATGATAGTCTATGACCTCACATGGTAGAAGAATAGACCTCATTAAATTATTCTCTAATGACATTAACAAACTAAAGTTGTTGTTATTGCTTGTTGTTTATTATGAATTCAGATACAGGGTAAAATTGCTTAATCGAAAAGAATTAACCAAACAGGAACTTTCATTTGTGTAAACAAGTGCAGAAGAACAGAAATATTAGAAACAGATATTTTTTCATTCCGTAATAAATATTCTGTTCAAAAGGTTAAAATTCGATGAAAACTTCGATCGGTAATGAATAACTACAATCGTTTTCTTTCCCTCGATCTGTCAAAGTGACGGTTTATTTTCCAAATTATTCGTCAATAATTTATACTTAAACCGTGGTCAAAAATGGAGTATGTAATGATTGCAAACTACTCCTCATCTTGTTATGGGTAGGAGTAAAATTTATAAAACAAGGATCTTAAAATCATTTAGTACGGTAACTAGTAATAACCAAAGTTTACGGAGTGCGGGCGACAACAATCGAAGGTCAAAACGCTTTTGTTCCAGCGCTGTGCTTTGCGTAAGTTTCACGTGACAGATGGTCAAAAACGCGCGTGATCAGATTTCGAGTGATAGAAGGTCCAAACACTCTTGATCAAATTGCGTTCTGTGCATTCCTTATATTCTTAGTGGAAGTCCAAACGAATGCGACGAATGCTGGCACATACATGCGACGTATGCGTAATAACAACCTGGACATTAGGATTGCGGGCTCCTCTTGTCGCCCGCAATAAAGATTTTTTTTTTTCTGTTAAGGTGGTTCGACTGGGTTTTTAGGGGATACCTCCTAAGTTTGAGCATTAACTACGCTGGCATGAGTAAAGATATGGGAAAAAGGTTACCACAACTGTATTATAATAAAGATGAAAATTTCTTATGATCTGGGTTTTATTGCAATCGGGTCGCCATGGTGACGTAATGACGCCATTACGTTTTTATCTATCTTTGTGTTTCTCTGTACCAGGAGCTTTTTTTTAAGAAATCGCTTAAGTGAGTATGTACCTGCCATAATTGCCTCAATTATGGCAAAGTTTGAACAAATTCTATGAGAGCGTCTTGGAAATATTTTGAAACGATGTTGTAAGAGTCATGAAAACAGTGAAATAGCATGCTATCCACACAATTAGCTAATATTTTAAGAAAATGATAAGATTTAGAAATGCGGCTTCATCTCATAGAGGTTTGATTCCATTGAAATCTGCGTACAAAAAACGAGGGGAATTGCTCTGGGCGAGCGCGAGTTAGAAGAATTTTATTAGCCTGCATTCAGCTGCTTTTGTTACATTTTTTGCACGTAATTTGGTAATGAAAACAGTGAAATAGCATGCTATCCACACAACTAGCTAATATTTTAAGAAAATGATAAGATTTAGAAACGCAGCTTCATCTCATAGAGGTTTGATTCCATTGAAATCTGCGTACAAAAATCTAGGGGAATTGCTCTGGGCGAGCGCGAGTTAGAAGAATGTTATTAACCTGTATTCAGCTGCTTTTGTTACATTTTTGCACGTAATTTGGTCCATGTCTACACAATAACGCATTATTCAAAAAAACTGCTCGATAATTTTTTTTATAAACTTGACAATCACGAGATCAATTGTCTCAAGAACATTAAAAACAGGGAAGGCCTTTAAATATAGCCTCAAATATAACGATTTTTTCCCTCAGAGTTTGTGTTTACAAGCGAGCGTTCTCATTATTCACTGGTATTGTTTTCAAGTTTCATATACACGTGCACAACAAGCAAAAGAAACAAATTTGCATAAAAAAGAACTCTCGATTACTTTCCGAAGAAATATCAGGGGGAGCCGAACGGTGAACGTCACGGCTCATCGTGTAGGATGCAATACTTAATTATCTTACTCGGGTTATAGCATCAAAGAAATCCTTTACCTAATTTCTTTACCCGGTTATTAGAATATTCTGAAGATTTTTTTTTTGAAAGCAACCGAGGGTCCTGTTTTATGCAAATTCAATATGTTTGCTAGTTGTACACGTGCATATGAAACTTGAAAACAATGCCAGTGAATAATGAGAACGCTCACTTGTAAACGCAAAATCTAAGGGAAAATTGGTTATATTTGAGGCCCTATTTAAAGGCCTTTCCTGTTTTCAATGTTCTTGAAACTTGCAGGGTATAGCTATTGACGATTGATCTCGTGATTGTCAAGTTTTTAAAAACTGTATCGAGCAGTTGTTTGAAAATGGGAAATTTGTAGGCATGGACCAAATTACTTGCAAAAAATGTAACAAAAGCAGCTGAATGCAGGCTAATAACATTCTTCTAACTCGCGATCGCCCGGAGCAATTCCCTCGTTTTTGTACGCAGTTTTCAATGAAATCAAACCTCTATGAGATGAAGCCGCATTTCTAAATCTTATCATTTTCTTAAAAATATTAGCTAATTGTGTGGATAGCATGCTATTTCACTGTTTTATGACCCTTAAAACTTCGTTTCAAAATGTTTCCAAGACGCTCTCATAGAATTTGTTCAAACTTTGCCATAATTGAGGCAATTACGGCAGGTACATACTCCCTAAGCGATTTCTTAAAAAAACTCCTGGTACAGAGAAACACAAAGATAAATAAAAACGTTATGGCGTCATTACGTTACCATGGCGACTCCGACTGCAATAAAACCCAGGTCATAAGAAATTTTCATCTTTATTATAATACAGTTATGGTAACCTTTTTCCCATATCTTTACTCATACCGACGTAGTTGATGCTCAAACTTGGAAGGTACCTCCCTAAAAATCCAGTTGAGCCACCTTAAGATGACATAATGGTATCTGTTTATCATTGTTACGCGGGGTGACAGCTATAACAAGGGCTGTTTCGGGAGTTATTGAGCAAAGATTTGATGTTACATGTTATCCAAATTAAATACTTAGGCATCCATATTGACAGCCACCTATCCTGGCATGACCATATTGACTATGTTTGTGATAAAGTCAGTAAGAGTATTAATATTATGACAAAGATAAAAAGTTGTCTAGGAAATCAATGTTTAACTAGTATTTACTATTCTCTTGTTTACCCATATCTCATATATGGTTGCTTATTGTGGGGAAATAATTAAGATAATCCATTATCACAGCTCATACGTCTACAAAATAAAGCAGTTAGATTAATGAATGACGTTCCTTTACGAGATCATATCACTCCTCATTATGTTCATCTAGGTTTATTAAAATTTTGTGATAGTGTTAAAATTTACAATTGTTTGTTTTTATATGATTATGTCTCTGATAATAAGCCGTGTAATTTTCCATTATTTCTTGTATCTGAGCAACACAATTATTTTACACGAAGTGCATCTGCTCAGCAATTACACATTCCCCACTTAAGAATTAATATTCGAAAGTTTTGCTCTACCGTCTTGGAAAATACCATTTGAACGATCTCCCCCTTTCTATTCGCAATAAATCATCGAAAATCCTGTTCAAAAAGGCACTTAAAAAATATTACCTTGCTCAATATTGAGTTGTGTGCGTGTGTGTGTTCGTGCGTGTTTGTGTGTTAATGAATAACAAAGCTATATAGAATAGAGTCAATCTTGTTAAAGGACCATAATTAGTTTTCTATAATGTGCCCTTCTCCATTCTAATTTTCTTCTTTTATTATTATTATTATTATGTACACGTAGTTTAAGCAACTTTGTATTAATTGACATTGTACGACTAATGTATTATCTATAGGATGGAGTAAAAATAAAATACAAATACGAATACAAAGTCACGAAGTCACGCCAATGAAAATAAGCATAAAAATGACAATTGATTTAGAGCACATTTTGGACAGAATTTTTCCTCTCAGAACACTAGAAATGGCGTTTCAGAGCACCAAGATTTCACAATTTTCTGGGGGAACATGCCCCCAGACCCCCCTAGTGGCCGGCCCCTCCAGCGCTCGCCTGATTAGTCGGTGATTAAAAAAAAACCCACACGATTTTATATACTTAAAAAGTTTTCTACTCCACTAAACGAAAAAATAACTAAGGTTAGATAATTAACAAGTTACATAATTAACAAGAAGCTGCAGAAAATCTCTAATTAAAATTATAATTTTAATTGT